CGAAGACATAAAGTACAAGATATAAAATAAGATAATTTGAAGAAAGACGCCACAAGGAAAAAGATGCTACTTTGTTTATATTTTTTTTATAGAACGTGCGTTGGCTATATTGATTGTGCAAAAGCGTGTGGTAAAGAGTTGCACAGTTATCGGCAGAGATATTTATGCTAAAATCGATTGGTAAAGATTATACGAAATACGAAAAGGTTGTGAAACATGCTCTTTGTAATATTTGGTATGCTAATAACTAAGGTCTGTATTTCAATGCTGACTGTAAAACCGGGCAAATGATATACGGTTTTAATTAGTGTTCCCTGAAGGGGATTATGTGGATGAAATTATAATTTTTAATATTCTTATATGTGTTGCAATTGTATATTCCTCGTACACTTTGGGAAAAGATAACAATAAATATAAAACACAATTTTTCCTGCTTGAAATTGTCATTAAAACAATTTAATGAATTAAAATTTTGAATGCTTTATATAGATAAAAATATTTTAAGTTAATGAAATGCTGTTTAAATGAATAAAAGTATGTCCAACTTACTTCCTAAATTACTCTCTTTCATATTTCGTCAATTTATGTTTTATTATACCTCTATGTATTCTTATTACTTTAACCTTGATTATAAATAAGTAAAATATGCAAGTTTATATTGCATCATATTATTTAATTGTTTGTGACATCTTTTCCCATAGGAGGTGGCATCTTACCCATATATATAGGGGGAAGATGTCATTTTTGCAGGGTATGACATATCAATTTTTTGTAATAATACGGAAAATTAAAAGTTTAATTTATTGATTTGTATGAATAAAGAAAATTTGCTAGAATATAAATAATATTTTTTTCGTTCATTAATTTTATAACAGAAGATTAAGAAGTTATTCAAAAATACAGGCTTAAGTGTGACGTCTTCCTCCCCAATGACCTTACGTGTGTATTTTTGTATTTACTTTAGTTGCATAAAAAGAGTGTATACATATAATAACACATTAAATAGAGATATGTTTAATTGTTATTTATCGTACACAAATATCATAAATGATAATAATGAGAATTTGATATTGATCACAGATTAAATGTCATTTGTATATTTTTTCTATTAGATTTTTTTTAATTACTAACTATAATACTACTCATAAATTTTCTATTTTTATTTCCAAATTATTATATGCTTATTAGCAGAATTGGGCTAATTAGTGCTAATAGTTAAAAACAATAAGAATTTCATTTTAGACCGTACATGTAAGAACATAATACAAACTAGAAATTGAAGTACGGAATACAAGAGATCTGGAATACACTCGATTCCCGGCCGAGTTAATATTTATCGCAATAAATTTATTTACAATTTTTCAGCACATTACCATCTATTTAATATGATGCCTGATTGAGCATCAAATTATTAAAAAAATTGCTTTAATTTAAATTATTAAAAATCAATTTAATTTAATTTGTGATATTGTAGTAGTTTAATTGCGTTTATAAATCCGGAAAACCAATTCGGCGCGCAGTTCAAATGATTACAAATATAGTATATACATATGCATGTAGTACATATATACATATAATTTACATTGAATTATTTAAGTATTAAAAGATCCAGTTTCGACCGTTATAGGCATTTAATTTCTAATTCATATTGAAGAGTTAAAAAGTTAAAAGTTAAGTTAAAAAATTAAAAAATTAATTATATAATTTTAATTTAACTTGATTAAATTTTAAACTTTTACCTTTTTAATTTCATTATATTTTGTTTGTAACTATCTATTAACTTTTAATTTGACTTTTTTAAAGTTAAACTCATACACAATGCAAGAGAATAATAAATATATATAATTTTATGTCTTTTATATTGTGTAATCGTCAGTTGTAAACATAAATAATCAGTAATACTTTAATAAACATACTGTAAGAAAAGAAAAATATAAAAAATTATGTAAAACAATTATATTTTTTCTTTTTCTTTTTTTTGGGTTGTTCGTTTGGACCAAATTTAACTTTAAACTTTTTAATTACTTTTTTTATTAACCAATTTTTATAATATTCTATTAATTTTATTATGGATTAACTTGTATTTTAACTAAGTTAAATTTTCAAAGCTGTTAACTTTAACCTAACTTAATTTTTGAAAAAATTAACTTACCCAATCCTTATTAGGAAAATTCGCTACATGCTTCGAGTTTATTTCTTCATAAATTCACTTACATTTTTATGTAAATATAAATACATAATCTATTGCATATATATATGTTAAAATACTTTTAATATTGCCTTAATGAAATTGTATTATACACATGTAAAAAATGCATATACATTGTAATATATTTATCATTTGATAAAATTTATTGAAAAAAATACAAAAAAAGCTTGTAAAATTTTTTTTAATTTAATTTAATTGAGTTTGATAATTCCAAACTAACAGCATTTAACAAAACTATAATGTTCAATTATTTTACACATTGCACATAAAGAGAACGACTATTTAGACAAACCTCGAAAGTATAGTTACGCGTATCCGAAAGTATTGTGCGTGTGTATAGTGAAATATTTATATTATATAAAATCGCATAAGAACTGATTATAAGTTTATACTAAGAACATACATACATAGTTCTCATACGTGTCATTCATTATTAATAGACCGCAATTACGAACTTGACTCAATCACAGTCATTCTAATACCGGACACCACATAATTGAATAAGTTCGAAACTTTGTGAGGAACTTCACGTCCTCGACGTATCTTTCTTCCAGTTAACCGAAGCGGGTAATTTCCGATTTGTGCCATCCAAGTTTAGTCTACTCTTCGAACATTTCCTACATGTTAGTCGCCAGAAGGCAAGTCTGAAGTCTGCCGAATAGAAAGCGTAAATAAACGGATTGATAGCTGAATTAATCCATCCTAAACACATAAAATAATTTTTTATTTAACTTTGTGAAAATATTTAATAATACATTATGTAATTATAATTCTAAAAACATTGAAATAAAATAAATTCAAAGCTACAAAGATGTTAAAGATAAGATAAATAAATTCATTAGAGTTTAATTAACTTGTTTACTTTTATTCTTTATTATAACAAATCGCTGTTCGTTCAATTAACTTTAACTGTTTCATTTAACTTTAATTTATCTAAAATAATCTTAATTTAACTTTAACTTATCTAAAATAATCTTAATTAAAAATGTAATTGTTACTTAAAATTATTAAAACAAACGTAGTCCAGATATTCGTTACAGTTAGCCTAAATTTGTCAATCCATAAATATTAAAAGAAATGTTTGGAAATATATATTTGAGAACATCGTATGAAATAGTGACTACCTAGCCATGTCAAGGCTGGCATGAGAACATCCGGCGGTTGTACGGGCACGAAGGGTGTTACCAGATACAGAATGAAAAACGGCAACCAGCATGCGATGAAACCACCTACAACCACCGCCAGGGTACCCGCAGTTTTCGTCTCCCTAGCGACCCTGTTAATGCAGCTTTGCTGATTACCTCGAATTGTACTCAACTTTTTGCACATATTTGTTAGTTCGGTATCCTCGGATGGCCTGTCACATGTCATACCGCTCTCGATATAATCCGTACGTTGTGTCTTGATGCTTCTGCCACGATCAATCTGTAGAAAAATAATTTCAAATATTTTATGCATTGATATTGCGATATATTAGGAATTACAAATTTTGTTAAATCAATTTAAGTATTCTTTATCAATTTAAGCCTTGTCAAGCTCAAATAGTGTAACAGTTTGAAAGCTTATAACGTTGCAAAAAGTTATCTAATTAAATTATAAAGTGAGCTTTGTAATGCAGTTTTGTAACATTTTAGGATTTTCAATATTCCCAACGTAAGAAAAACGTATTAGAGAAAATCTTTTACACACCACAAGTGTCTGTTTTCTTTGATTCTTTCGAAACATTTCTTATTCTGCTACCGTAATAAATTGCTCGATGTCTACTTGTGTCGTTTTGCTTGTAACCGAAAGAATTATTTGCTAAATTACTTTTATTCTTTTATAGTATAAAACAATGTCATCATTATAAGTCAATACTAACGTACTTAAATCTTGTAAAAAATCATATTTATTATAAATACAATCATATAATCTACATTGCATACTTTTAGCAATTAATTTTTGTCAAGTTATATTATTATTGAACGACAAAAAAATTTTCGCATAATTTTCTTTTTTTGTATTAAAATAACATTTCTGTGTGCAGGCTATGTAATTAAATCAAATCCGACTAAGCCAATAAGACGTATTGTGCAAAATGATTGATATTCGATTATATAAAGTCGGATAATGTGGATTATGAGGAATCCGTATCCTCCATCATAGTGTTAATGCCTGTGCCATTTTATCGTCGCTGGTGAGAGAGCCATTGGTTTCAGTAATCTTCTTTTCAATGAAACTACGAGAATGGTTTCGTTACCTTTGATCGATAGAGCCATTGGAATTACAGTACAATTTACAATAAAAGCAGAATAAATTTTTATTTCTTTCAATTGAAAATACACTTGCTTTGAACTCGAAATAGGTTGTTATAATATTTGCATTAACTATTTTGTTGTTGTAAACAATTTTCTTGATTACCCGTTGTATTTCCGCTTTTCTATCTCTATACTGGAATGTCATTGTTAATTATAAAAAGGATATTATATTCTGTGCCTGCTTGACAAAAAATATTTTCTAAAAGAGTTTTTTGAAAAAAATAAAGAAAATATAGTTTTTAATTCTTTATTATGAGTCTATATAGATTTCGATGTTACACATTTTTAAGAGCTTTTATAATCTATTATTAATGAGATAAAATCGTAAATTAGAATATTGATCGAGTATTTCAACAAGTCATTAATATCTTCCCGTCATAATTTGTTCACAATATCATCTATCGGCCGAATAAACGAAGCATAATATTAAGAAGATTAATGCACAGGTATTTGTTAGCATAGAAAAACGTGCTATGTAATTATATTAATCATATTAAAATTTCTCTCCTATAACACACACAGCTCAATCATTTAAATAGATGACAATGTTATAAAATTACAAAGCGTACAAAAAAGGATATAAGAGACAAGCATAATTTGTACTAAGCTTCTGAATAATGTTAATGTCTGAAAATTTTCAAGATAAATCTTTTTAAGTAAGAAATCTTGTTTATTTTAACAAACATAAGATAAATGTGTCATTAAATTCTATATGTTATTAAATTACATAGTAAAATAAGTAGCAAATAAAAGCAAATTACATAAGATGAGAAAAATAACAGATAACAACACACAGGTTATATATCGAAAATATAATAATACCATCGTATATCTGTAGTAAAATCTAAAACAATTCTCACCGTGATTTTATGACGTGATCGGATATTCTCTCCCTCATTGGTTTTTTCCAGATTTCTATGTCTGCTTGCTATGACGCATGAAATTCTGCCGTATACGTACAGCATTACTAACATAGGCAGGAAGAAGCTGCCCATCGCCGAGAATATTACATAGGAGGAATCCATATTGTAGGAGCACTTTTTGATGTCTCGATTTGTCGCACGTGGGAAACAACCCAGTAAAGGCGGACTCGTTATTGCGCCGGCCATAATCCATACCGCGACAATCATCAATCCAGCCAGACGTTTGCTTCTACGTCGACGGCTGTATATCAGCGGCTGAGTTACGGCTAGATATCTTGAACAAGAAACCGATAATGATGCGATAAATTTCGTAAATTTTAGGTATCTTTACGTGCTAAATCTCTGCAAACAGATATGCTAAATGCTTTGCATAATATCAGAGTAATAAAAAGACAATAGTATGGTAAACAAATTGTTTCAAAATTTTCAAAAAATTTTTATCTTAAAATAAATTATATTGAATAAGCGCATGTAGCAAATTGTATTTCTGAATCGTAACTTTAACTTATCCTCAGGTTGTGCAGTTTGTATATAAATCAGTACAATAAAAAGCTTCTCACCGCACACAGAATACAATGCAAAAAAAAATAATTTGATTTATTAACGTAGAAAAAAGTTTAACTTGTATATACATATTACAAATACGGTTGTCACTTTCCGAGAAGTGTTTCGTCGGAGATCGATGGTTCTCCTGCCTGAGATCGCTCACTTCAAGCTATTCAAATTGTTATTAATGTTCTTTCTTATAGTCCTTTTTTAAAAAAAAAGTCATTACATTTAATCCTTCTACGGGAAATTTCTTTTCAAAACCGAAGAAAAATTGAAACAAGTATTTAAAAAAATTAAGATTATTATCAAAATTAAAAACAATTAGCTAGAGATTTTTTTCATCTGCCGGAAAATAGGAGATTTAAAGAAACCGAAATTTTCTGAAAGAAGTGACAATCGTAAATACAAATTGCACTAAAAATTAAGAACTTATATCGCTTATAGTCAGTCCTTTTGCTTTTAAAATTCTATTAAATTATCTTTGTTTTAAGTAATGTATATTGTTTTTTATAATACATAATATAAATTAAAATAATAATTATCTCTATATATAATACCTATATATAATAATATATAAATAATAAAACAGAAATGTTTATATTTCTGTATGCATAACTACAGAAAATAAAGCGTGGTACTTTGGCCTTTCTACATAAGATGGGAAATCCAGAATAAGGCGAAAGAAACTACAAAGAAAAAAGGAGGTATAAGATACAAGGAAGAATTGCTCTCATTGACAATGAGCAATGTCGACTCGTTTAATAAAATCAACATAATACAGAATACTTTTTATATAAATGAACTTTTTAGGTAAAAATCCATCTGCTGTTGCCGCTGATTTTTATCAAAAAACCCCCGTAAAGTCCGGAGATTAGAGTCCGGACATTAGAGATTAATTTACGTTGCATAAAATCTGTTTTTTAATAATCGAATAACCTATCTACAAAAGATTGAACGGTTGACAGGATGGCTTTCCGGTAATTACGTTACCTACGTGACGAGATTTAGAAATGCATATGATCAGGTTTACCTGTCTATAGAAATGGCGCATAACGAGAGAATGCTGGCTGTGCAGAGTAGAATATCAAGGGAAACCCAGAAATCGCACAGTATTTCGCCCAACTCCCAAGTCCCTCCTGTAAGCTTCAATGAATATCCCATTTGATAAGATGTATGAAAATGCAATTTGTACGAGGTAAGAAAGAACATCTCTTTCTGTATAACAATAATAATGTCTAGGAGGAGTCAGTTTACGATACTATATATGCCCATTTGTAGAATTATTAAATGCCAGCAGTAATTAAATGTCGCTCTGAGTGTCGTTGTTTTCTAACAATTTATTTTTCTTTGCAAATAATGCATACCAATTGCGATAATTAAATAGGATTCATATTGTAACAACACGGAAGTTCAGAACTTATTACTGAAGATAAATTTCACGCTCGTTTATTGCATTTTATTTCCTGACAAATACATGCATACCTGTAACAGGACAGCCGGTGGCATAACCGCTAGACCGACTAGCAAATCCGCAGCAGCCAAGCTAGACACAAAACAATTAGTCACAGATCGTAATCTCCTCGTGGTAATTACAGCCGCAATCACTAGAGTATTGCCAACCTGTAATAATAATTCGAGAAAGAGATCATGATCATTAAAAATATGTGTGGTTTTAGACGAACTGCACATTAAAATCATTCTTATCACAGAATTATTATTTGTATATATGTATATATATATATATACATGTATATATATAAATAATTATTAAATTTGTAAAAATTATTATTATTACATATTTTAAAGCGCAAATTATTAAAACTACTTAAGGCATTATGTCTTACTGAGATATTTATACATTCGGCGAGCTATTAAAGCAGATATTCTGATATAAACATATATATTCATGCTGATATAAAAATACTGGAAATTTCAATTAAATGGATTTTACTTACTATTGTAACAATAATTAACATCGTGAACAATCCTGCTAGAATAAGATCGGTCCAATTGGGCAGGTAATGTTCAGTCTCCGTATCTCCTTCGTCCGTCGATACCGTACGGTTCCATTGGTAAATGTCTTCATGGTAATCAGTTGTTTGATTCGCCATGACGTTTACCCTCGATCCATAAATGATAATTTCTGTTTCGTAGTGCATATGTTGCAAGACATCTTATGATAATTTCTATGTATATATAAAAGGAATTCATATCTTAAGTATAACATACATAATATATTTTATGCAATTTTATTATTTTATTAAGTCTACAATTTAATTTATAGAATCTCTATAAATTATTCAAATTACTGCTGTATATTTAATAATCTAATATTGTTCTCTTTAATTGTCAAAATAATTAGAAATAGTTAAAAATTTTACTCTTTATTTAATTTATATTATCATAATAATAAATTTAACAATTGTAAATGTATAAAATATAAAATAATATATACATAAATTATATACTCATAATAGCATACTGTAAATATCACAACTGCTAACAATAATACGTCGTTCAACTGTACGTAGGTATATAATACAAATAAAATCCTCTAAAAAAAGAAATTTTAAATGTTCATTTATCAGTTTTTTTTTTTTTCATATAAGCCAATCAATTACAAAAGCACAAATGCCTAAATTTTTATTTGCATTGTCACGAAAAGTGGAGAATATTAAAAACGCTTGTACGACATATCGGATCAAAATGTGAATCCTGCAAACGATGAGGCGCATATGAATTTAAAATTGATTAAAAATCACGACATGTGCACGTGGAAATATGAATATAAAAAAGTGATTGAGGTGGAACTTTTAAAACTTTCTATGATCACACGAATATGTGGACGAAATAGCCCAACGTCGACATTTCTGCAAAATATGGAACTAGATCACATTGGAAAGAGGCTTTGGAAACGCTTTGGAGTTTGCTAAAATTGAATGAGAAAAGTCAAACAGACTATGAAAATAAGACAGAGCATAAGAGATAAAGTGCTACTGAAAAAAAGTAGTCGTATTTCAAAGTATATGAGAAGAAATGCGCGTCGAACAAAATAAATCCCTCGTCCAAATTGGTATTGTCACTGTCAAAGTAAGTATTTTGTCGAAAACACACATTTTATCCAGCAAATTCCTATATGTATTATATATTGATAGTCGCAATTTATTTATTTTAATGTATAGTTCTAAATTTTATTTTATATTAAACTTTATTTTATATTTAAAATACATTATTTTTTATATATCTTATATATTTGATATATTTTATATATTTAATATAATAAAACATTTTTTTACATTTAGTATAATAAAACAACTTTATATCAGTAAATTACTTGCATCTTAAGATATTTATTCTATAGTGTAAAGAACAAAGTTATAGAATTAAACTTATACTAAGGAATATAATTAATGTGAAACATTGCTACATTAAATATTTAAAAAAATTAGAGATAATTTTCATTTACATAAAAAAGCAAATACGTTATTATGTTGTTCATTACCAACTAATATAATATAATCGACTCACAATGAGACTGTTAATATATAATCAGGAACTTAAACATATATTGCGATTACAGCAGCTTCAGTCACCGATTTGTTTAAGCATTAATAGCATCATGGTATGCTAAAATATGGTGAAAATTTTAAAACAATAACATTTACATTAACAAAGTATTGTGCCAAAAATAATTTTAAAAAATTAGATTCTCCTAACTTGCATAATGATTTTTTTATAATCAACCGCACCATTCCATTAACGGTTCCAGCAACAAATGGATTTTCCTCTGGTTCGCCGAATTAAATAAATTACAACATTGTTTCCGCTTTCACAGCGTGACTAAGTAATGGCAACCTGAACTAAGAGGCAGTTTAAAGAAAGCAGAATTCCGATCATGTACTTAATTCTAATAACTATCAGCAACAAATATAAAACAGATTATAAGGTGTCGTCTAAATGAGCATAGACTAAAATTTCCTTTATTATAATTGTAGATATTATCCGTTCTTTCCAGCTACACAAATTTCCTCTTTTTTTAAATTCTCTTTCTTGATATTTCAAATTATTAAATATTTTCTAAACATTTTTATAAAAACATAGAAAATAAATGCAAAAAATATGTTTTTTTATACGTTTAAGTGAAGTAAGAGTATTAAGACTACATATGTATAATTTATTTTTCTAAAGTCAAGCTACGATAATTTTTATTTTTTAATAAAATCTCTCTATTCTTATAAAAATTAGATATCGATTTGAAAAAATATTAGTAATATTAAAACAAAATACATTAAATTTATATCCATTATTTATATCTTTTTATAATTATTTTTTATCTTATTGTAATAATCTTTTTGTAATTAATCTAATTATTTTGTTATGTTTATTTTATATATAGATATATATGTGTATATATAATAAATATAAAAATATCCTAATATTACGAAAATTTTGTATGAGTACGTATAATGTCATTACTTGCGATGAATTTAAATCATTTATCTCAAGTATAAGATAAAATTTTAATTAATCATGAATAATATGCACGTTTTCAGAGAGGTATGCCTGATACCATTGCATTATTAATGTATTCCACACGTCATTCGATTCTCATACTAAAAGCGACTTTCACGTATAAAAAAATTTAACGACTTCGTGAAAATCAAAGCTTGCATTATCCCATGGGAAATTCGTATCTGCGAAAAACAGTATCTGTGTGAAACTCAAGATGTGTTGCGTTGAGGAAACAGTTTAAATGGTACTGGGTCGATCGATAAACATTTGATAAAGATACTCCCACTTAGAACGACTGTAGATTTCCGACCAGCCATGAATAATCGCCAGTAGCTCGAAAGAATGGTTTATAACGTATAAAAACTGGGCGGTACTACCGCGAGGTATGGAAGTCGGATAAGACAAATGGACCAACGAGATCTCGCGCGATCGTTTATCGATCCTGTAAGATGAAATAGAACGGATTGTGGTGAGAGATTCTGTGTCCATCCTGTTATCTCAGATAATAAAATATTTCGAGAACTTGGGTTATGCATTGCGTCAAGACAAAATACATTATCTTTATAAAAAAAAAAAAAATAATTCAAAGTGAAATTTATTTTGTTTTAATATTACTTTTTATTTATATTATTAATTTCTCTCTCATATTCATTTGTTTTACTTTATTATTTTAAAATGTAAAGTAAGAAATTTTATAATACTTATAAAAATAATGATAATTAATGGAACTATATAAAGTATAGTAATACAGTGCGATTTATAGAAAAATGAGAATTATTTTACCAAAAATTTAAATAGAGTAAAAATTATATATTGAATTTAATATACATATTTCCTTATACGCAATTAATAAGATAAAGCACAAATATTGCTAATGTTTTTAAGAGAGATACCAGCTTTAATAGTCCAACATATTGAGAACAAGAGCGCTTATCCTTTCAACAAAGAAGAATTGATTTCTAAGCATTACGAACATATTATTTTAGTTTTTTAAAAATATTATACATATATATTTAAAAAAAGTGAAAACTGTCACTATCCTAATTCTATATACACACGCGTTTATTCAAAAAAAAAAAGATATTTGATATTTATTACTTTGATTAAAACTTACCGTATTAATCGCGAATAGAATTATTTCAAATAATTTTAATTACAACTGTCTAAATGCAATTCGTCTAAATGATTGGTTCTCAATCATTTTGTTATGGTAGCTTACACACAGATAAAGTAAAAATGTGCGTAGTTGAGAGATAGAATGTAGCAACAAAAACAAATTGCCAGGACATAAATACAATATAAGTAAAACATTCACGAATTTAATAGTACAGATGTAATAACATCTTTTAAATATGTTTCTATAAATAAATAATTTGATGTAAAAGTGTAATAGTATTATTTTTCGTGTTGTTTAGTAAAAAAAAAAACAAAATTTAATTACTCAGAAAAAATTCACCGCAATTTTTTGCTTAAAAGGCACAGAAAATAAAATGAAGATAAAAATTTTCACTGCAATAATTTTAATGTAAATATAGTCTTCAAGAATTTTATTTTATTTAAAAAATACGGAAGTATGACAGAAAAGTGATGAAAATACTGTTTATAATCCGTTATGTCCTCTATTGTAAATATACTTTAATTTCTTTATTTGTAAATGCAAATATAATATATGGTGACATTAACTGATAATATTTCGACTGTAAATACATTAATCTTATTTAATTAAGTATTTAAATCAGCAAGCGATTATTTTTCTTAGATCATTATTTCACTAAAGTAGTAATTACTTAAAAGTTTTTTTTTATCTTGAATGTACTGTATATTTTTAAAAATATTGTTAAAAATTTATAAATATAAAAATATTGAACAATACAAATATTTATTTATTATATAACACATTTGCTAAATGTTTTAATATTGTGAACTTTTAAAAGATTTAAAATATCACCATTTTTTAACAAAAAAAAGATAAAGATCTACATATAACTGTTTCAGTATGATTCGTTCTGCTGTTTGATCTCTTTTTCAGATATGGGTCGCTATAATCGATTTCATAACTGTGTCTACATGCTTATGCACATAGATTTTGCATACAAAACCATTGTATTCAAAATAAACCTATTTGTTGGAGAAAACATAAAACAGAACAATAAATATTTTCTTTTTACGTTAATTCACACAAAACAATTTTTTAAATCAAACTCTATATTATTCTATAATAATAAATTAATAATGTTAAAATATTCTACCGTTTTCCATTTCTATGTTAAATATATTTAAAACGTAACCGTCTAATTTCAAAATTTAATGATAATTTATCAAATTAATAAATTGGTATACTTAAAATAATATAATGTAAGATATAAGACTTTAGAAAATAAAGTATCATGTTATTTGATCATAGTTATTTAAGACGTGATTGTTGTAAAAAAGTTGTAAAACTTTTGGTATTAGATGTACAAACAGAAATAGGAAATTCTTTAAATAACAGTCGAGCTACCAAATAAAGCAAAGAGAGTTCTCGTGTACACTGTGAAATAGAAATCGAAAACGGTAGTTTCAATATTTTTCATGTTATAGACATGGCAAAACATTTTACATCAATAGTTTTATTTTTCTTCTTTACTATCAATAAAAGTAAATATTCAAGGAAGTATCATCTCAATAACAACGA